TGTGAAATCCTGCTCTGTTAGTGTATCCGTGTTGACGTTCTTGTACAGTTTCCGTTTGTGCAGTGCTTACAATAGTGCTAGAATTGGTATAGCTGTGAATACCACGCGTATATGTCGCAGACGTCTTGAAGCCAAGTCAGCAGCTAGAAAAGCTCGATTGCACCTAACCCCCCTGGCCGCACCGCTTTTCAAAATGAGACGTAACATGATATTTCTATTTTCTAATGTTACAGAATATGGTTTCATATACATACACACACACATACACACACACACACATATATATATATATATATATGTATTAGTATAATACAACTTCTCCTGTCCTTTAGATTTAGGAATCCTTTGTCGGTTGTCAGGTGCAGATGCAAAAGAGCCCACAAGAGCTGGAAGCAGAGGTGCCTCTGCGGGCTTGTCAGCATGTTGCACTTACGAGCAGAATGCCAAGTGCGCGTCATTGCACGTCATTTCAGTGGCACTTCCAAAATCACTCGTCAGGACAGCGATGCAAAAGCATTTTCGGTGTACCTGACCGCTCGCCAACAACCTAAAAACTATGAGGAACACCTACAACGGATGTTTAAGTTTCAATTTGGTATCCCCCCGCCGTTTCCTGCATCCGCCTACCCGTAAGGTGGACCATGAAGGGAGGAAGTTGAAAGAACGGGATGCCATGTGGCCAGGCACAACTTGGAAATGTGCTGCGCGCTCGAGGCTGCAGGTTGACATGGCCTTCATGGTACTATTCCATCGTTAATTCTCGGCCAAGGCCAACACATGGCATCACCACACGAAGGCAAGCTCAGAAGCATCTGAGGATCGCGAAGCTACTCACCTTCTGGCATCGACGAATGCAACAGTTGGAGGACAGAGCACTTCATAAGAATGCTGCACATGTCAGGGCAAGTCAGCTAGAAACGGATCGGCTGCAAAGCTTAAGCTGTACACTTCCTTTGCACACTTGCGGTGGCGCGATGGGGGCTCAACCTTCTGTTCTACTTCTAGTCCTCGCTCGATTGCACAATCCCCAACGTGTTTGGACGGACCCTGAGCTATTCAGACTCTGCTCTGTTCTACTGTCTTCGGAGGGTTCGACTCATTCCTAGCTGTTCTTCCTACTCTGAGAAGTCTACATGTTCGGTTCTAGTCCGCAGGATTCACACCGTGCTTATCTCACCTGTCTCGTTTCCATCATCCGTGTGTTGGGGGGCCTGTGTCTGCATGCATATGCCCGCAAGAAGACCACCATACAACAACCGAACAGGGCGAATGGCCCTTGCTGTGCTTGGAGTTGAGCGAGTGTTTGCCTCCTCATCATCTCCATGGAGCCGCAAGCATCCACGGGTTTAGACCCGTGTTTGCGTGCTGAGCCTCGAGCCCCCTGCTTTAGCTGCAAGGCGGCGAACGAGATAGCGTTAATTCCGATTCCATGACTCGCTCCAAACCCTTAGCCCTACAAGCCTAAACGGAGCCTTGCCGGCCTTGTGCGAGTGTGAGAGTCGAAACCTAGATTCAAACTCTAAAGCCAGTCATCAAGCCAAGGCCCACAGTGCTCGGACTCGTTCTGCCCAGAGCAAAGATACCGCAAACCCTACTCTTATTAAGGACTGTATATGACACGACGGTTGGGGGGCAGGACGAGAAGGAAGCGGAGCGAGAGACTTTCCGCTTCAAGGCCGTCAACCCTTCGGATTTGCCTGCAGTATCCTTTCAACTAACATGCATCTATGTATAGAAAGTACACTCGGGCCCGTTCTTTTTGAACCTTGAGAAGAAGAGGCCTGGGTTTAGTCCTGGGTCTTGGATTTATTTTCAATGCAGGAGCACATTTCAAGTTTCAACCAAGCCCGGCGTGAACCAAACTGGTCACTAGTTACTCGAAATAAATGTCAGTGTATACAGCTACACAACTAGGACGCGCGCATGCGCACGTGCACGCACACATGCACACATCTGGCTACGAGTCCACGTGAGTCGAAAGTTAGATTTTGCGGCCCAAGAAAAGGTCAAAGCCCTTCTGGAAGACATTCAGAGCCTCGCGAAGGTGTTGGAGGGCGGCTCGGTGCATGTTGTCGGAAACTACTACTACTACTACTACTACTACTACTACTACTACTGCGCCTGAACTCTCCTGTAAGCCGCACCATGTAGATTGGGGGGGGCAGATTCTGAGCCGTAGACTGGCAATGGCCTAGACTTGCCTGGACGTTACGATAAGGTCCAGGCGAGGAGACAACAGGGTGGGCTTAGAGGGACATGAGTTGCCCCTGTGGTTCAGCAATCGATTCCAATACACCCTGCCCAGTCATGCTCCCCGGATAGTCTTTGAGTGTCGCTTCTCTGTAGCCACGATAATAGCGGCCTCTTGCTTGCCGAGATGCGGCGCTGACGAAGAAAAGGAGGAGACGTGTTGATGCCCCTCGCTTGCTTCGTCGGTGTTGGGCCCTCTCAAAGCCATAGGTTCAGGAGTTCCCAATCAGTTGTGCCTGTTTGGACTTGAACTAACTGATTACACTAGCAGCCTGGACTGATCCTCCTACGGGCCCACCTACAAGGGCTACATTGGGAGTTTCAGCATGGTATCCCTCGTACAGACTTGCAAAGAGTAGGGATCCCGCACTGAAAGAGCTTTGGCTCATGTCGGGCACCCTCGAGACGTCCTTGTGCTTCATGTTGGGGGTTTGGGGTCAAAACAGCTGTTCCGTCCCACTCCCTTATGCAGCGGCCTGAACAAACAGGAGAAACCTTCCCACGAAGCTAATGCATTGCCCTTTTGCGGTTTCAGGCTGTGATCCTGAAGAGGAGCTGAACAGCAGCTAACGGCTTTAAGAAAAGAGCAACAGCAGGCAATTGGCGGACGGCATCATGCAGTGGCAACCCATCCAGGACTCTTGAGAGCCCCCAACATGGGAGCTAACCTGTCAAGCAACACTCGGATTGCGGATAGCTTGCGAGCCGGTTTCGAAGCACGAGCCAGCGAGGTTCCAAAACTCCCGAACTCGGGTCCCTTCCTCTTCAGCGGTTTTCTCATGTGGTTGTTCTGGCGCGAGTCCTGCCTTGGAATACTGGAGAATTCATCTAAGTACCGGTAGTCGCTTGGACAAGGCCGACGATCTTCTGACCCTGCGGCAGCAGAAGGCCGTCCGAGATCAAGTAGTCGCAGAGTTAAAGCATCAAAGCCATATTGTAGTTGGTTGGTGGCTTGGCATTGGCTTGTTGGCTTCTTGGCCTAGGGCCTATAGTTGTGCCTTGTCAGAAGATGGAGATGTAAGCATCGGGCTTTAGGGAAAGGTGCGATCCGGATCCAAGGCCTCTGCAAGAATCCCTTCTTCGGGAGCCCTAATGCGAGCGTTTGAGAGGCTGCCGCAGCTGCAGCCGAAGCGATGCGCCCGAGGATGTCACGTGCCGGGGAGGTGAGTGCCCCAGTTCTTTTGGAGTCGTTTGGGATGTTGGGCATTATACTGCAACCTTGTGTAGTGTTGAGCTGGTCCCGAGACTTCCTGCCAGCAAGGCATAGATAAAAACCGCAACAGTGCAACGCTGTTATGCGTAGATCGTTCTGCCCGAGGGATTGCATGTTTGACTGCATTTGCATGCAGACAAGGGTGAGTCTTCAAGTTTTTTCAGGCCTTAATTTGAGGTTTCACCTGAAAGACGCTCCGGAAATCCGAGGGCTCCAGTGACATCGCGCGCTTCCAAGCGATGATGTCGCAACGCTCGGCGGCGCGCCGGGCATCTGCCGAGCAAGAGGTGCATGAACTCCTCATTTTTCTGGCTTGTTTCCGTCGAAGATCCAGTGCACTGGTTCCTCCTAGCTTTGGAGTGTGGTTTCGGAGGTTGAGACAGGAGTTCGAAATCGTAGGATTCGGACTCAAAGCTGCAAAATCGATGAGGCTACGCGGCATAGGACGCAACGATAGGCGGTCGATTTAGGCGCGAAAATTTGCTCGCAATCAGAGAGAACACGCTGTGAACTAGTCATCGCACAGCCAGCTGCTTTGCACACAGCGAAATGCTGCGAAGTATCATCCCGTGCTAGGCTGCCGAAGGCGCCCATCGCAAAGAGGAGCTGCACTGTCGAATCGTGGGGCCGGATTGGGTTTGTTGCTTGAAGCAGCGAGGGCATAGTGCTTGACCCGATGATCTTGGAGGTCGAGCGTCAAGGCTTAGGCTCTTGGGGCCAAGCGAACCCTGGACCTGGACGTGAAGGTATGGAGCCTCCCAAGAGCCTCAATACATAGCACACCAAGCTACCAGGCGATGTTGCTAAAGCTCCATGCTGTAACTCATTGTTTGATGTTGCCGCTGGTTGGTGGTGGTGGTGGTGGTTGCTGTCGTTGTCTCTGCTGCTGTTGTTTCCCTGGTCTTTGCAGCTAATCTGGTTGCCATTGTGAGATCTGAGATTTTTCAGGGATCTGTGGTGCGACGAACCACGCAGTCCCGGAGTGATCAGAGAGGGCTCCAACTCCAAAATGGCAAGACCCAAAGAGTCCGAAAGAGGAGAAGCAAGAGCGAAGGCGACTCGCAGAGCTGCTCCGGACACTTGGCGCCAAACTTCGAAGAAGCCACTAGTACTGTTACTGCTATTGTTACTATCATTACGTTTATTACTACAAGTACGGCTATTAGTACTATTAAGCCTTATTGTTATGATGGTTATGATTATCATTACGTCTACTTGATCTTCGGGAGTTGGTTTTACTGCCAGAAGCTAGTAGCTGCAGGCACCGCAGCCACAGCAAACCGCAAGACGCTCACGACCCGCTATGCTACACGTGCTGCGAAGAAGTGATTCTTGATATTATGACTATTGTTATTACTTATCTATATACGGCATTTTGCTGAACCTTTGTGCTGCGACTGACTCCTATCAAGATGATGGGATGCATGTGGGCATAACTGTGCCTACCTTGAGTGAATTTACTCCTCAGCTCCTTGGNNTCAGCCATGTAGGAGGCAAAAAAATTGCAATTACTATTACTTTGTTCACTTTTTCATTGAAAGTTATCATGCTCCCACTGTCCTGCTATTGTCTTCTTCTCATTCTTTTTGATACTGTTATGACTATGATGATCATTACTCTTGTTGTTTGCGGCCGATGCTGCTACGACAACGGCAACCTCTATTACTCGCAAATACTGCCACTCCTGCTGCTACTAATGCTGCTAAAGCTACTGCTACTGCTA